ATTGTTAGTTACTGTAATGTTGCGCTGCTTTATTTGGTTAATCGTCCAGTCTGTGAAGAAGGCATTCAAGTAAGAATTGCATTGTAGTATAACTCATTTCCTGGCGCGTACAATTTATATTGTTCACGGTTCGACTTCTGATATTCAGATCGAGTTCTAGGTCAAACTGGTTTGTTCGACTTTCAAGAAATTCGAGTTCTAGTGAGTTCCAGAACCGAGGTACCACTGAATTTCTATTTTTTTCTTACCCCCAAAAGCAAGCCCAGGCATTTATGCGCTTGTAAAATTCATCTCCACTCCAATGCCACAAGTCTCTCTTCTCTTCTCTGCATCACATTCGTCTGTCCACAGTTACACAAGATTATACATCCAAAGCTCCAGTGAATGGATGGGAGAGAGTCATCCCCAATCGGCATGTCATGCCATGATCCAAATCCCTCAGCAGTATCCACCTTGCTAGTGAGGTCCTGTCAGATATTTGTGAATTTTGTTGGAAATAAATGCACAATGGTTGCTTCTGATAATGCACCATACACCTTTCTCCTCACATATACATAGGTCCACCATGTCCTCTGAGCATCATCTGAGTGGAGCCAATCCGATTTAACTTATGAGGTAAAATGTTATGGTGTATTTACATATGAAAATTTCTGAGGCTAACAGACTAACCCACACTCCATACTCCAGCATAGAAAGACAGATTGCGGTTTATCCCCTAAGACCATGCTGTGTGATTTGGGAGTGGTTTGAGGTGAATTCCGGTGAGAGGGCTCAATGACCTTGCTCCCCAGGGAAAGAGGGGCTCCTTGCTCCCCAGGGAAAGAGGGGACTCTTTCTTTACAGCACATCTGGCCAACAGGAGGTGCAGTGGTTAAGCAAGGAAACATGTGGCTTAAAGGTTGCTGGTTTCAAGCCCACACTGGAAAGCAAAACCTGTTATACCCTTAAATCGATTGCTTAACTGGTATTGTTCCAGTAAATGTCAGGTTACTCTGAAAACAAATTAAGCAAATTAGGCAAAAAAAAAAAATGTAAAAAAAGTTTGTATTCTTTATTAGTTTGCAACCTTCAGCCTACACACTCAGAACCCAGGGGAGCTGAACCCTTCTACAGAGATTAGGAGAGAAGATGTGCTTCACTGAGACCAACAACATCTGCCTTCTTTTTTCATTCTTACTACCACTGTTTGAATAAAAAATAGCTTTCAGTTCTGCACAATCTTGCTTATACTCACTCAGATGGTAAATGAATAGAGGAAGACAGGCAATATTAATATGATCATTATATGAACATTATAAAATATAGAAGTTTCTAAGTTTCCTTCCAGGGGTTCCATTTAGGTCAACCATAAGAATTACTATCATAAACCATGCTGGCTTTTTAATATAAAAGACTGTTATAAATCCCAGGGGGTTTTATTTACCAGCAAACCTGGCAGTTCACATGTACATATCATTTTTTGTTGAAATACAGTTTCTCGCATCTGTTGTCCCTGGCTTCTTACTCATTTTTAGTAATACTACTCTTTCACTATCCTTTTTTTCTCTCATCCACACACTCCACAAGATATTGAGTATTCAGACTCATACATACTTCTTTTGATGATGCAGTAAATTAACGTCATATTTTCCACAAACTCCTACAGGGAGTTAAATGCACTAAATATTGGAGTAGGGGACATTCTAAAGATAGATGCAATGTATAAACACACTACAAACCGCTTCATTCCACTTTTTCATTAACGCCACCAAGTTATTTACGCCCCTGTGGCGGCATGAAAATCTACATGTGAAACAGTTTCTCAAGCTCACGCAGATAGCGTCCTGAGTAAAGGCAGCCGAATCCGCAGAATGTAAAGGCCGCGCGTGCAAGCCACGCCCACCTGCCTTCGGTGAGTGACGACAAAGCCAGAGCTTTCATAAGGAATTCCGGTTTGCCCTGTAGCGTCTGTAGCGGTCACATCAGCACATGACCTCAGGTCCCTCTATGAAGTGGGCAAATTGTAAACTTTGGTCTGGGGGTGGTAGTTCACTGCCTGCCGCAGAGCAGATGTGTGCAGTTTAAGTCCTTTACTGCCCCTCTAACATTCGATCAACACTGCATGCCTGTTTTCAAAATAGTAAAAATGCTGGGGTTTTTTTCTTACTTTCACCGACAAAGATTGGGATTATGGTCATGGGATGACTATCATACTGTCATACTACAAACCTACTTCCACTTGATTTAAACATTTAAACATAAACACGCTTAAAAACAGAACTAAACTGCATAAAAAGATTGTGAAGACATAGTTAAATCACCCATTGTCCTCATATTCCTGTTAGTACTACATAGTCTAACTTTATAATCATTTTTAATAGACGGTGTGATCAAGGCCGGATTAGGTTTCGCCCTGGAACGATCTTTTTGGGGACGGTAACTTATTTTTTTTTATTTATTTATTTATTTATTTATTTATTGGGGGGGGGGGCACATAATATCAACACGTTGCTTTCTTGGTGTCCAATTGTTTAATTGTTTTGTATTACTGATTAATGTATGTGTCAGTCGTCTTTATCATTTCTCGTTCCCAAAGATGATTATGGGGATGCAACTATAGACGTTGAATTTATTTAACTATAAGCATTTTATTTGTTTGTTTGCTGAAAAATTGCTGTTGATGATGAACGGGTACACAAATGCAATTTGTTCAGTTAAAAACACTATTCTACACTGTCTTGGAGAATTTCACTGGTAGGCTATAAATGAGCAAAATTTCTACTTTTCATATTTTTGCAACTACACGTAATTTCTAATATGAGAAAATCTTGGGAATTACGTGGATGTATATTTATGTAATAAGATTTTATAACGGTAAATTGTCACTATAAAGCTATGCTATATTGTATTGAATGTAAGTCCAACATTTTCGTGTCACGTGACAGAAGTTCGTTGTAATTATCCTAAAACGAAAACATTAGTCAAGTTCGCATACACCAAATCCATTCTAGTTTTCGCCTTTTAAAATTATTTTTGTCACCTTAAAATTCATCCAACCATCCATCCAAAAATCTCTTATGCTAGTCAGGGTCGCTGTAAAAGAAAAAGGATTTTCAGCTATAGGTAAATCCCAAATTGACATGGCTTCCATTTGTGGAGAACAAATGAAAGAGAATGGTGAATTAAATTATTCATAATAAAACACGAAAAAAGAATAAGGTCCATCTATCTATCCATTTTCTATACCCATTTATCCTATTGCAAGATCGCGGGGCTCAGGAGCCTATTTTTCATTTATAATATTGTAGATCCCTAAAGACTCTTAGGAAATAATTATTGCAGTACATGCTGCTCACTGATCCATTTGTAGCTTGGAATAGGTCAGTATTTTTATTATTATTCATGAAGACAATGAAGACTTGAAAAGAAATTTACTAGACTATATGAAGTCTCCTGACTTCATGCAAAGTGAGCGATGACGACAGCTATAACCATAGATGTGGCACAAGTTACGCTGAGGCTGATGGTGGATGTTGAGATCTACAAAAGTCGATCCTAGCCAAATCAATTCCATCTCTTTTTACCAGCTCAACTTCATAATCACCGACGACGTGCTATAAAAATTAAATGAAATGTTTTCGCGAGCTTTTTCGTTGGACAATTAGGCTACTCACAACTATTTGAATAAAAAGACAGAACTTAAACAAGAAGTGCACCCTTTGGAATCCCGTTTGTCTCCTTTACGACTTCATATAGCCCACCTTTCTTGGGCACTACGTGTGCTTATGTAATGAACCAGCATTCAGGACGACAGACTTAATGCGCTCGTCGGAAAAGGATCCTGTGGATTCCCCTAGAAATTATCTAAGAGCGTAGCTGAAACCAAAAAAGTTATCAGTGCTTGGGCCGGGGAAATGCATGAAATCAGTAGACACTTTTGAAGACTTTGTCAATCACGGTGTGGGACAAAAGGTCTTATATTATAGTGATTCATTTACTGAGGTAGCCTATAGACGAAATAGAAATAATTGTAAGCGAAAACCCATATGAAAGATGTATTGCCGTGCTAAACCCGTACAAGCACAACATATTAGACAAAAACCTTTAGCACCACCCTATAATTTTTATTTGGTCATTTATAATTGTTTCCCATTCATCTTAGAATCGAGCTAACTCAGACGGCAGGATTTATTCGTATAATTCAAACGTGAAAACCCCAATGGTAAAATGAAAGCAAGACTCGATTGTCACTAATACAAAGTGGAATCCCATAAGCTTCGGGATATAACATGTTACATTGTAATGCTGCACCGTAACTTTTTAGTACTTAGTTTTTAGGCCTAAATTGACTTATTTTCACTACTAAGAGCTGGAACTTAATGTTTTAACTAATGCGCCTAAGCTCTATAACAGTATCATCCCACGAGTATTACGTGTCGTGTTCGTGCTATTAGCACATATATTCCTAGAATCACAAGATCAAGATTAATAAAGTCTGTCTCTCTGTCTATCTATCTTTTGATAAGGTCACGACCATTTCAGCAAATTTCCTTTGACTGTGCTGTTTTTTTTAAGTCTTAGTTGATAATTTAATTTATACAACTTATGCCACAGTCTATAAATTTACCATTTGTACCACACTGGGAACTTGTTATGTAAATCTGTAATCTATTTTTTCTTAGTTGATCTTTTATAGTTAAGGTACTTGTACCATTGGAACACGTGACGAAAAACTGAGCCAAACAGTCAACTACTGGCATGTTGTGCAAAGGCCTAAGGAGCAGGTGCCATTTTAGTGGTCCCGTATACGAACGAGATACTTAATTATATCTTCCTTAAAGTCCTTTATCTTGCACTCAGTAGGCTTATTCCGGAACCTAAACATTGATCCTTAGTTGAATTCTAGTTTTCAAGTTTAACTCCTTCTGAAGTTTGTTTTAGAATATTAATTTGCTTTTTACTTCATTGCATTTTATGATTCTGTTTTAGAGTAAATGCCATTGATGAGTTCCATAATGAAAAATGAATAAAGCAAACTAACGTTTTCATATTTTACTCAGCTGTAAAAATATTATATTCCAGTTATAGCGAAAAAGAAAACAATCCCTCGATGTTTACATTAATTGTCACACATCTACAATATATAATAGGGTTTCAATGCTTTTTTTTGCCTTTTTACTCGGTAGTTGCTCATCTCAAGGCTATTATAACTACTAGTAAAACGTGATTAAATATTGTCATTGAAGAAAGTTAAGACATAAATTATGCTGGTATAACTAGTTGTGCTATATATTACCCAGCTTTCAGCACAAATATTAAAATATTATAATACATTTAGTTGTTAGAAGATGGATAATAGTGTAAATTTTTCAATTTGCACTATGACGACGCTAAAAAACACGACCCTACGCACAAAAAATCAGTTTGACCTGAAGTGTCCGTTTCTTTCTGCACGATTTAAGTTGCATAGCGATACTTCAAATTAGTGGTTTGGCTAAGTCGGTGCTTCCCGCGCTTCACTAGTGCTGTTATGTTAGGATGAACAAAAATAAAACAAATAATTCCGCACAGTAATGCTCTCGATATTTAATGATATATAAAGGCGGTGGACAGATGAATTCCTTTCAGAAATGAATTCCTTTAACCCTGTTTTATAGGAAAGTTGCATCCCACCAAACGAAATGCTATAGCTTTAAGTCACTGTAGCAAATTATTGTAATGTCTTCTCCTTTACATTATTTAGGCTCAGTTAAGTTAATTATGTAAAATAAACTGATAAGATGTTTGTTTCAGTTCAAATTTAAATAAACTTCAAACACTGCTATGAGAGATATCTATGATGTCAAGAAGCTTCTTTATTTCATGAATAAACAGCAAATTTAAATGATTTATATATTTTTGGTATGTTCTGTAAAGACTAAATAAAAAGCTATAATTATATCATATTATTATACTATAAAGTTTATTTTATGAAAATTTTGCTGAGAATATAAACAAATTAGTTTATTATAATCGATCGCAGGATTATAGACAATAACCGCAAGTTTTTTTTCCAATATACTACTTTTTGATAAATAAAAGTAGTGTGTTTTTTTTCTATTCGCATACATAATATCAAAATAATTATGCTGTTGACCGAATACAATACCTTTCCAGACTGGTTGTATACGAAAGTATCTGCATTGATATCTTTCAGTATGTTCATTAAAGCAACACATTGACTTCTCTTTCTCAAAGTGTGTCATACTATTTGTTAATCTGTAAAATAGTATGAATTATTTTGATGAATTCAAATATCATTAAAATCATTATTACTGCTTACAGCTGTCATGAATTGGGTAAAATAACAACGTCATAAAGAAAAGTTTTTGGTAGGTTACAGTTAAAGTATCTCAGGTCAGGGTTAATTTAGCAAATGTTACAGTGCACATGTTACTACTAAGGATAATAAATATTCATAAATATTATAACTGCTTATGCTAGAAGGAGCTGGAGAAGGACGTAGAGCTCAAGACTGGAGTACACCGCGAGTAGGATGCCAATTATTATTATTATTATTAATATTATTATTATTATTAGTAGTAGTAGTAGTAGTAGTAGTAGTAGTAGTAGTAGTAGTTTTATCCTTACAGACTCTTTGTTTTATCTTTTATTACAGCTAGATGGTCTGGCAGAACAAGGTTAACTACTTTTTATATAAGTTGGGACCTCATCAGGGAATTTGCAGAATGTTATAATCAGTGATGACATGACTGATCAATCCACGATGACCTATAACACCCTGCAAATTCTCTATGTGTTACTTTTATCTATATGTTGCTCTATAAGACTTTTGCATAGGTGTGTAATCAGTACAAAATGTTGACTCCAGACTGGAACAATATAGGCTACAAAAATTTATAATCGTAGATTCAAGTTAACGGGTATAAGCCAGTTAAAACGGTTAAAATTCCCAGTATATCAGTAACTATCGATGGCTTCTACAATAATAATAATAATTTACTTACTGTTTATGTTGTGTCTGTATCTTGCCTGGATGGCAAAGGGATCCTGTCCATTGATTAAAAGTATTGAATCCAGGGTTGAAACTTAGGTTTGCTTCGTTGGATGGGGAATTGATCGGTTCGGAAGGTGATTCCACTCACAGCGTCTGATTCACGGAGGATGAAAGAAATTGTATGATAGGATAGAGATTGATTGTGTATGAAGCTGAGAGAGCGAAAGTAAGAGTGTGATAGAAAGAAACTCTCACACAATCGGCTCGCCGTGTCGCAAAGGGGTCCCACAGGAACACAGCACCATGCGCCAGTACCGATGGACGATACAAGAAACAACGGATCGGAAAGCTCCAGTCACGGCCGTTTAGAGAGATTCGTCCTCTCCACCCGTTCCGTTTCTAGCGAGTAAAATGCTCCAGGACCTCTCTGTGATAGGGAAAAAACGGAATGGTCTGAAATGAAACCTTCAGAAAACAAAAGTCTGAGAAAACATGTATACTCGTCATGCACTTCAGATTTCACACAGAATACTAGGCATCTTGTTCACAGTTTCTCCCCTTGCCTACAGGACCGCTGACTGACAGATATTATGAGAGAGAGAGCAGCGCCGAATAGAATGGGGAGGGACATGAAGAGAATGTGGGAGAACTGGCGCGGTGGTTATCTTAGTCAATTAGTTGTCACATTGCGCGATTCGTCGTCACCTAAGTATGCTGGTGCATATTGATTTTGTCTAAATATTGGGTTTTAAATAAAAACCCCGTTTTAACATGAAGTTTAGTATGCCAGGATAGCGTTTAAATATTTTCAGGGAACACAGGTCCATGCCTATTTCGACGTTTAGAAATATTCCGTAATTTTTTTCTAGTGATGGTCCTATTGGGCTTTAATAATCTATTATTTGTTTTTATTATTTTGCCTGATTTTTTGCTTAACTATTAATTGTTCATAACTCGGACGCCCAACTTACTTTCATAACTCCTAACAACATGACGTGTTATTGAGTTACCTAATAAAGAGATGAGTGAAATGCGCGGAATCTCCCGCTCATCTGACTGTTTTATTAGATACCTTTGGTAAATAAAGCATGCGCTGTCAGTTGAAATGAGTTAATGCTCAACCACACACTTGATGGACAGATGTCACTGGCTTTTAATAATTTATATAAGCAGGTACAATGGAAATGATGTCGTATGTGTGAAATACAAACACTAAGGGATAATGTAAATTATTTATCAAACGCCTTGTATTCTTCGTTTTGACGACAGATTTGTTCAAGTGGGATAAAGCAACTGTCAGAAATAGGCTTTGCTTTTGATACCGTATAGAAGGCAACGGAACATTTAAGGTTTAGTTTTTAATTAGCTCAATATATACCCAGAGGTACAGCGACTGGACAGGGCGGGCAGGCAATGGCTTGGGTCCCCGAGCTAGGAGGGGGAATCCGAGGGCTACGGATTACATAGCGCATTGCAAAGACAAATCTACTGTAGTTTATTTGTGTATTCTATTTTTCACAAAAGTGAAAATAAATGTCTTGTGTTTATTAAATTCTCTTTGTTGATAGGCCTATTATAAATTTACACTTCGCAGTAATATAGAGATAATAAATGTTATCATGCCCGGGGAGGCAGAGTTGGAGGGCCCCATGGAATTTCTTGCCTATAGGGCCCTCAGAGTACCTAGAATCGCCCCATATAATACCCATGGCCCCTTATTGAATAAACTCAACCGGGAGTTTCCTTCTCCAGAATTGATTTGAAATAGGTTATCTAATCATGACTTAAAATGCGGGGGGTTCGTGCCTATGGGAGGGTCTATCCCCACCTCCAACTGTCGTAACGGTTAATGGATGGAGGATAACTACACGTATCTGTCTTTTTTTTAATAAAAGATTAAAAAGACTGTGTAAAAACAACTTTGTAAGATCGACACAGAACACGCAGACAATTGGCAATTAGCTTCTTAAACCTCAAAGCTTCCCCGTTGGTTTTTTTTCTTTCTTTTTTTTTTTTAACGAAGAAACGCTATTTTTTTGTTCATATTTTGAACTTTTTTTTTTTTTTTTAATTTAATTTTGTTTATTTGGCATGGGTTCTGCAAAGCATTTCAAAATTGAGATACTTTACTGATCTTGCGCTTTGCAGGAATCTTCATGCGTCGCCTGATGTTAAGCTATGCCGTAGAGTCCTTCCAGCGTTACATCGGCTCCTGCTGCCACTTGTGCCGCTTGAAGGCGCAAATGAAAGGCTTCCGCTTCATGCACTGATCATCATTCCATTCTCCCAAGTTTTTCCAGTTCATCTCAACACAGCTCTCAACATTACTGGCGTCGTCTGGTTGACCTGGAACCCAGTTCTCAAAATTCCAAGAAGAACCATCTGTCCAGATGAAGTCATTTGACTGGCCATCCCTTTGACCACCCAACCAGGTCCGTGGTGAGGAGGGGTTGAATTTCAACACGATGGCCAAGGCATCGTCATTTGCTTGTTCACTGTGCACGGAGAGCAGGTGACTCCCTGAAGCTTTTTGACTGCAAGCAGACTCAGCATCAGAGAAGGAGAGTGGCGTGCTGAAATACCGTATACAGTAGCGGCCAGTTTGGTACCAGTGGCTGTAGCGTTCATCACCAGAGTACTTTGGGAAGTTGTTGTAGTCGTCATCCATTGCAGCAGGCATGGCAGACAGGCAGAGGAATGCAATCCCCAGCAAGCTTGGAGCCCTCATGTCTCAGTTCTTCAGTCCCACAACACCTCCCTGTGAAGATCTGTGACTCTTCTTTCCCACTTTAATACATGTTTGA